CGGTGATGGAATGCCTGCATGCCACCGGCAAGTGGTGGCCGGCCGCGGTGGAAGCGGCTTGCAAGGTCGGGCTCTTACAGGAACCACCACAGTCTGCGTTGGAGCTACAGGCCCATCTCAAAGCCGGCCGCGCCACAGTTTCCCGTTTGTGCCGCAAATATCTGCGCGCATGCAGAAAGAACCGACACTTTGACAGAGCCAACCTCGTTGAGCGCGCAGCGCCCGAGGCCGTTGAGACCGTGTCGGCGCAGGGGCCATGCCTTCCATGGCGATGCCCGCGGTGTCCCAATGCGTACGCGAGCCGACGACAGCTGTCGGTCCACCTCGCGAGGCACCACCAGCACCGAAGTGAGGCAGTTCGCTGCGCTTTCGGGACGACCTGTCAGAAGTGCATGCGGGAATACTGGTCGCTAAGGCGACTCACCGAACACCTAGCACGCTCGAGAGCGTGCTTAGAGACATATCGGGAATCGGATTTGGAGCCCGACACCCCAGCACCGACGAGTGGACATTTTGCGTGGACTCCTGCTTCCAATGTCGCAGGACCACAGCCATGGTGGGCTACGCTCGCCCCACATGTCGGCACTGCCGAACCATGAGCTTTTGTTGTTTAAATTTTCCTGACAAACCGGAGGCGCGCCAGCAAGAGCGTTTTTCCTCCTTTGGCATGCGAATTGACCGCGCACTTTCAGTCTAGGGTGTCCGTCAAAAAGACCCCCAAACCCCGAGCACTGCGGGACTAAAGTCCTGTGGAACTGCAGCCGGCTCAGGAGGCGGTTCGCCATCAGTGGTCTCCCGGTCGGTGGGAGCCTGGCTTCTGATCGCGGAGGGTGGGTAGTTTGGGCTTGGGGCTCTGGCAGAGGGCATCAGTCGAGTTCCAACCCAAAAATCGATGTTCGGGTTTAGTTTAGTTCTGTTCCGGTTGGGTATTGGGTTTAGGGTTTCGGGGTTTGGGGCGTTTGGAGTCGACCGTTTGCGATCGCAGAGGAAGCCTTGCTTTGTGCGGAGGAATGGCGGCATAGGTGGTCGCGGCTTTCTAAATCGACAACTTGGAAGCGCAGCAAACAAACAAAAATCTAAACCCTAAGCCTTCCCAGAAACTGCCCGAAACATCCCTAAACCTGTACTCCTGAACAAGCAAGCAAAGCAACAGAAGCAATCGGCAAGCTTGCCTCTGCAGGCTCAGCGCCACGACCTGCCCCCTGGCCAGGGAGTCTCTGCGAGTTCAGGGTCACCGTTTTAGGGATCAGCAACCGTGTAGGCTTCAACTGGCTTAGGGTTTTCTATCGGCATCGCCTTGCTCTTGCGCCGCCGCGGCAGCCGGGCGAAAGGGGCCCTGTCGCGGGTGTTTGCTTTCAGGGGGCCACGCAGAAGCATGAGCCAGAAACCGGTTGGCAAGCGCGTGGACGTATGTGTCATAGATTGCCATAGAGGTGCAGATAGACGCATTGCCCATTATGACTTACGAAGCAGTCGGAAAATGATGCTCTTCACCCTTATTGCCTTTTCCTCTTAGCTTGCAACTCTGCTGGTTAAGTAGACTTACGGCCCTCGTGGCAGCTCAGCAGATAGACGGTTCATCAGCTTTTGGGGTGCTGTCCTGTTTCAGTAACACTGTTGGCAGTTCAGGGGTTTAGGGTTTAGGGTTTAATGGTTTAGGGTTTAAGGGTTTGGGGTTTAGGGTTTAAGAGTTTAGGGTTGAGGGTTCGAGGCCTGCGCTGCTGGTTGCGGCCGCCACTTTCGCCCACCTTGCAGCAAACGAATTCTCGACTGCTTGAATTGGAGGGATGTACTGTGCAGTTTGGGGATTTTAGCAAGCTTCCAGCGATCTTGAGTGCAAATCTCGAGTGCGCAGGGTCTTCAACACCCTTTCCAAACTGTACCCGGCGAGTGGGCATGAACTGCGGCGAGAAGAAAGTGCTCGTCGTTGTCCCGAATTTATCCACCAGCTGCAGCAAGGAATGGCCTTGCAAAATGCCAACTTGTACAGGGCGCTGATGAAGGCCCCGAACTGCTGAACTGCTTCGATGGCATGTCTACGGCTGTGGCTATGGCGTCCTCAATGCCTGCCCACAAGGGCCTAGCCCTGGCAGCTGATCCCAGAGTAATTGCGCAGTTGCTGCACGTCGGGGCAACTTTAAAACACAAATAGGCCGCGGCGGCCGCAAGCCGACTACACGAGGTCTCGAAGCGCTGCCTCAAAGCCTGGCTGAACAACACGGCTCTTGTTCAATGTCGCTTACATGGAAGCAAGAGTCTTAATTGCCACCCTAAACCCTGACATGCCCTGACCCCGAAACCCGTAATTTTTGATCCAGGGCTCCGGCTGGAGGATACTCGTCCTCTTTCTCCTCTCTTTGCTCAGGAGGCGAAGGGGCAGGGGCCGCCTGCGACCCAGGCGGCGGTGAAGGAAGACCGGAACTTCTCCTGCCTACTCCCTGCATGCCTTTTCAGAAGCCGGCATGAATTTTATGATTGAGGCGGACGATGCCTTCTTAGTCGTTACTTTCTTGCATTTTTGGAGAAGGCATCGGCAAAGCTCTGAAGATGCCTCTGCCGGTGGCCGACTTCTGCTTGGTGGGGAGAAGTTGTGCCTGACAGCTGAAACCCTGTAGCTTGATGGTGTGGGGAACATCACCGAAAAGGGAAGAGTCATAGCAAGTATTACCATAATTAGTAAGAGCAATACATGAGCAATCACACTGATTCAAGGAAACTTTGCAAAATTTCACCATCGTCGTTTCGATATGTTCTCCGAGCCATGCCAACAATGCCGGTAGGCGGATAGTTCTTAGAGTCTGTGTGTCAGCCCCTTTGCCCATTGAAACAAGCCTTGGACCCCAATCACCACGACAGCAAAAGCCTGAACCCACCTCACCCCTAAACTGGTAGTAACCGTACAAGATTTACGACGTCGATAGGCGTGGGGACTGCTGAGTCGCGTCTGGCCTGTCTCTCGGCGGAGCAGGCGACGGACCTGCGGGCTCAGGCGATGCTTCTGCGGATGCAAAAAGGTTGACAGGAGCTTAGTGTACATCATGGCAAAGGGTGGAGTATCAATTATTTCTATCCGTGCTACTTCCATCCAGGTATGTCAGCCATGCGGGGGCTCTGTGGTGTTGGAGTAAGGGATTCCGCTTCTCTGAAACTTGTAGCTCCCAGCTGAAAGAACCCGACGGCTCTGCGGATCCAGAACGTGGCCACCAGAACTTACACACTCATGACAAGAACACCTGGACCTGCTGACCTTCGATGTCTCTCTCATCCACGTCTGCATACCTAAGACCCCTAAAACCTCACATCTGGAAAGCCCTCCTGAAAACAAAGGCCTCGGGATGGTGCTGCACGCTTCCCCGCCTGGCTGCGAAGAGAGACGATGAAAGAACTTTAGGCTTATAGGGGGTATACCAGCACCCCCCAAGTACCCTTTAAAGGGCTCTAATATTTCTCATTACGAGGTAACTAGGGACCACAATAAAGGGTAGTTGGGGGGTCTAGGTAGGGTTCAGGGTTCAGGACTAAGCTTGTCCCAAACCCTCATCTTTAGACTTTAGACCCTACCCTAGGGCCCTAAAGTAGTTCCTCTTGGGGGTTCATATTCAGAATCCCATTAGGTAATCCCAAAAAGGAACTACTTTGGGCCTATGGGTAAGTTAAGCCGAGGCTCAACTTCAGATTATAACTCGTCAGCCTCGGTTGCCAGTCACTGCACCCAAGGTGCAGTGTGGTGCACGCAGAATGTGACAATGTTAGTTTTGCTTCCTGAACACCTAAACTTCGCCTAAACCCTGAAAACTACAGTAAACCCCCCTTGACCCTAAACCCTAAAATTGCCGCTGAAGTCCTCATATCCTAACTCTTTCCAGCCGCTCCTTGGAGTAGCATGTCAAGGAGCCTCGCAAGTCAGTGACTCCTGCTGTTGTCGCTCCACTCCACAGGCGACTTCAACACCCGAGCCTAAGCCTGTTGTTGTGGTGCTGTTTTGTGGGCTTCGCTATGACAAAGAGCTTCCACCCCGAACACGAACAAGTCCATAAAACCTCGAAGCCCCCTCAGAACGCGAACCCTCCCAAAAAAGACCCTTCAAATCTAAGCAGAACGCCCCGGGTTTGGAAGGGTCCAGTACCTGAGGGGTTTCTAGGGTTCAGTGCTTTAGTTTTGCTGCTTTGTGTTTTAGGGTTGCGAGGGAGTCGGTCTAGGAATCAAGGACACAGGCGTGTGTTCTGCACGGCCGGCCTCTTCCACGAGGAGCCTGGACGAAAGTTAGCTCAGGTCAGATTCGCAGGGCAGTAGGAAGCCATCTATCCGGGATTATCCGGGTATACGGACGAACATGAGTTCAACTGTGCGACAAAACTACAGTAATGGTGCGAGAACCGACTGCCTGTACAGGGCTTCCGGAAACCAGTGACCTTATCTATGGGACGACCCAGGACCAAACCACCCCATAGCGACCACTATCACCACTACCGCCACACCGTTAATCCAAGCCACCATGCAGGGTCATGCCCATCTCTGACATGACCCCACTTGATTCGCACAGTTTTTCTGCCGCTAGAGGCAGACATCTGTCTCTAAGAATTGAAGTGCGAGCAGCCTTCCGAGCAGCTCGCTGACTCAGCGATTCCAGCCGTCTCGGGGTACTCGGGGCCCGTCTTGGGGCCAGCTCTGAAGCAGCTGACTGCTACGGAAGCACGACTATACATATTCCCTCAAAACCGGCCTTGCGACCTGTGCATAAGAAACAAGCCAGACGTCAGCTGCTCAAGGTGTTGTCTGAGCTCGCCTAGGCATACTCTTCAAGACCTTATTCGGAATCCAACAGCATAGCTGAAAACATTGTCATGTTTACAAACAGACCCAGATACCATCTTATGTCAAGCCTTTTTACAAGCTCTGCTGACTTGTATGATGCTATTGTCAAGACGAACAGGTGAGGTAGCCCTACGTTTGACAAAGGAAACCCAAGCGTGCTACCTTGACGAGCTCTGTCTGACAGATCACAATTTGCTCTTTAGCATTTGTTGTGCTTCACGCTCAGCTTCCTCGATGGAGGTAAAGAAAAGTTCTGAAAGCCGCTTGATCTCCGACTCCACCGCCGCAATCTGCTGCTCCAGATTCTTAACATCTGGGAGGTCGAGGCTGCTCGCAAATTCCGTCTCCAACGACCTCTTCTCGTCGAAGGCCCGGCGCAAGTGTTCCTTCACTTCATTGAGACTGGCCTTTGAAGTTGCGATGGCCTGTGCGAAATACTCTCGCTTTACGCCCCAAGCCTTCACCCAAAGGGTGCCTGAGTGAAAGTATCTGCCAAGTCCTCTTTCGAAGACCCCACAAACCTCCCGGTCGCTCCGAAATGTCTCACGGTAGTCTGCCGTGTCCCAAGTGCAGTAAGTCACTTTTCGGATCGTGACAGGGCTTGTAAGTCGAAAGTCGAAGACGATACCCCTGCCAGTCTGCACCCACCTTGATGTATCGGCTACTTCAACCAGATCAGGAGTGTCATGGATCGCGAGGTCCTCGTTCAAGCGCTCCATCTCCGACGTCTGCTTCTTGATTTCGCGCCTGAGCCAGTCAAAATGTTCTTGGGCTGCGCTTGGAATCTGCATGCGCTGGGCTTTCTGCTCCACCAGCTGAGCTAGCCTCTCCTCCAGCCGAGCTTTCTCCTTCTCGTGCTTTGCCTCAACGGCCGGTGTTTTGGGCACCCGGAGACGTGCTAATGGGGCAGCTGCCAAGTTGGCCCGAGCATGCTGAAGAATTCGCTCTCGTTCGGTGAGCTGCTTCATCAACTCCTCAACTGTCTCAGGCAAGGAGTTCAAGCAACGGACAGAAGGAGCAGCCTTCAGCCCCAGAAGATTCTGCACGTCTTCGGCGCTCTGCTGCATGATTTTCTGGATCTTGCTGGGGTCCTGGTACTTTTTGCTGCTCTCCTTGAAGTCTGGGTGCACAATGACCAAGTGCGCCGCAAAAATGTCCGCTCCGAACAACTGTTGGTAGTACAGCACGGTGTCTTTGTAGGTTTGGTCCATGCGGGACTCCGTCTTCATGACCAAGATGACGGCATGAACAGAGCCGAGCACATGGGCATTCTTCACGACGTTGATCATGTACCCAAGGTCCTTCTCATGGCTCTCGTTCAGGCCGGGCGTGTCCATGATCGTCACACTGCCATCGCCCGAGGTCGACACAGCGCAATGCTGCGTGCATGACAAGCGATCTTCGCCAACTTGGAAGGTCCGCTGTTGCCCATTCTCTTCCCAAATGTGATCCAAGTCCGGCTTCATGAGGAAGTTGCCGAGGGTACTCTTGCCTTGGCCAGTAGAACCGACGAGGATCAAGTTCACCTTCTGGGCCAAGGTAGAGTCCATGGCACACTAGCGCCTCAAACGGGCAAGACTAGGCAAGTGTTCGCTCTGGAAAGAAGCACTGCAGCTTGGGCAAGCTGACTGGATACAGATACTCTTCTTACACCCGTGCACAGGAAGGCCATTACGTGCGAGGGATTACACTATAAGTCATAGGTAAGGTTGATCTGATGTGTGTGTGTGTGTGTTTATTTATGAGCGGGCTTATTTGTCTAAGTAGTTGTATCTATATTATGGTTATGATTATGACTATGGCTTCGGGTATGATTATGATATGATTAAGACTGGTGAAAATTATGGCTATGCCTATGACTTAGTGTCTGACACTGATCATAGTAACGGTAATATAGGGGCCTCAATAATTAGGATAAGGTTTGGGGGCCCATCTTGCTATATATATATATATATATGTATATATATATATATATATAGCTGTAAAAAGGAACTCCTACAGCAATATCGGTAATTATTCAGGCCCCTACATTCTAAAATCCTACCATAGATCCCTTATAGTAACCCTTACAAAGACCCCTTTAAGATGAACCGTACTCTAATTTTTTAGGCCCCTACATTAGTATCCTTCAAGATCCCTTATAGTACAGTAGTCCTTACAGACCCCTTTAAAGGAACCCTATATTCTTAGGCCTCTATAATATATTGATGACACTGACTTGGCCGGGCCTGGTGAGCTCCGGGGGAGCCAGGTCCAGTGTGGCGTAGGCCCAGGCCAGACGGGCGAGGTCCTGAGAATAGGGCCCCCTTAAAGGGTACTATAAAGTTTCCTTGAACGGTACTATAAAGCCCTTTTAAGGGCTGCCACAGGGGTTATGTTTACTACAAGGGTCATTTTATGCAGGGGCCTCAATACTTGGAATAGGGCTGCTTTGGGCCATGGTAAGTAGAATAGGGGAGCAGAGTATACCAACTATCCAAGCCCCCTATAGTATCCCAAGAGGTGTAGGGTTTTAGGGCTTGGGGCGGCTGGTGGAGGGAGGGTTTCAACACTGGGTTTCGGAAGCGCAACTTTCCGTTTGGCTTGGGAGTCTGGGAGTTGCTGCTTCGGGTTTGAGGTAAGCGTCTTCTGGATCTTTCTGCACCACCCTGAAACCTCTAAAGTCTGCAGCCTCAGGCGTTTTAGACACAAATCGGAGTTTCCGAAAGTAGGGGTACCTTTCTTTAGGAGTCCTTATCATAAGGATCCTACTATTCAGGGCATTATACTCGGGTCCCCTATTAAATATCACAGGCCCCTGAAGGAGGGTTCCAAAAACCTGGTTTGCATGCGCGGTCGCTTTTGGCTCTTCAGGGTTCATGAACCCAACATTTGTAACCCTGTGCTTTCAAGTCTTGGCCTGGCTTGGAGATCAGTTGCTGGCCAGGCCTCTTCGTCGAAGTCAGCTATCCGAGACGCCGCCTCGCACAAGAAACCAGACTAGGCAATGTTAGTATTCGTATTATTGCTACTATTACTCTTGCATCATCCTCATCATCATCATCATTACGATTATGGTTACTTTTACCACTGACTACTGCTACCATGATTATACTGCTTTACTACTATTACTCGTCGTCGTTACTGCTACTCTTGTTCAGTCCATATCAATGCCTGTCTGATTTTGATGAGCATGGCATGGCTAGGAGTAACGTCGGGTGTGGGCTGTAAGGGGGCGTTTGGTCATTATGACTATATAAATCTTGCGGACCTCTGATTTTGTTCTCGTGCGGCCCTCCGGTCTTTAACCCTATAGCCCAAACCCTACAAAACCCGCCCTAAACCCATCCATCTAAACCCTACATCCTACAACACCCAACCCTTCAAAACCCTCCCTCTACTCCAGCAGTGCATCGGGAGTTTTTGCTCGTCAGCTTGGCGTCAGAGGCTCCAAAGTCGCAGGCTCTGCGAGCAACTCGGACACCTCCTCGTGACCAGGGCTTTGGGTTTGGGGTTTGGGGTTTTAGGGTTTGGGGCTTAGGGTTTCGAGTTTTATTTAAGGTTTAGAGTTTGGGGTTAAGGGTTTGGGGCTTTGGGTTTAGGTTTTGGGGTTTAGGGTTTGGAGCTGAAGTGCTGCTACCACTACGAAACAGTACCACCATCACTATGGACGGTATCATCACTGTGCGTATTGCGACTACTGACTGCTGTTGTGGCTACTGCTGTTGCGGCGGTTACGACGACCAAGAATACGACACCGCCGCCACCACCACCACCACCAGGACCACCACCAGACTGCAAAGAACCTTAAGACCCACCGAATTGCACCCACAGCCCTAACCTGATTTCGGGCTCTCGAGCCTGCGGCTCCCCTTTACAGTGTAGACTTCAAGTTCTCTTGGGTTTTGGATCAATGGTCTTCAGGGGGCTTTGGCTGACTCTTTCAGACTCAACCAGGGTTCACTATACTGAACTTAGAACCCTAGCAAAAATTATAATTCTAGCTGTTTCTTAGGGACTATAATAACCAAAAAATGAAAATTATTTCTAAGTACCCCTAAGTTCAGGGTTTAGGGGTTCCCAGGAAGTCTGGGGGTTCGGAGCGATCCTTGCCGTCCAGCACCAGATCGAGCAAGGACCCGTCCGATTTCACCTTGGTGATTCTAAACGCTTTCAAGCCCTAAAGCTCCAAATTTCTAGAGCATAAGTGACAGTGTAACCCCGGCAGCTCCAAAGCTGACAGGTCACCATGCATTCTTCTACCGGGCCCCCTTTTAAAAGGAAACAAACATCGAACACCAAAAGCCCATAACCCCTAAAACACCCAAACCCTGCCCCCCCCGCCCAGAGGAATCCTAAGATTCACCAAGTCACTAGCTTCAGAAGCAGCGGAGGGACCCGAAGGCCTCACAGGGGAAAGCAACTTCGACATAGCAAAGGGGGGTGGGCCGGGCAGCAAGCTCTGGGTATGATATAGAGGGGCCAAAAAACCAGAAACTCAGTTCAGATCATGTTGCAACAGTGTTACTATCAGATGCTGTCAAAATTCAGGAATATGAGGGAGGAATGTTACCGGTTGGTGATCCTCCCCAGCGCGCATGAACCTCAAACCCTGATGTTGCCTCCAGTCCAACATTGCGCTCCGTTCTCGATGGAGCCCTGAAGCCCAACTGTAGCTCCTGGCTCAATCTGAGGCCCCGCACGCGACGCCAAACAGCGGCGCACCTCGTCTCGCAAACTCTCCGAAACTCAGGTGGAGATGTCAGGGCAGGGCACCCTCCTGCAAAGAAGAAGCCCCAAACTCCACAGACGGTCACCCCCAGCCCCGGAAAGAAATACCCGAAACCTCAGGGTACAGAGCTATTTAGACCTTCAGGGTTTAGGATAGTTCAGAAACCCCAACTTGACGGGGACAGCGTATCGTGAGAGGTTCTGCAAGCAGAACTTTCGCAAGCAAAAGGGCTCTGTGCAAGCAAAATCTCTGTCGTCGTCGTGTAGATGATAATATCTACTATAAAGGATGAACCTACGAAATTGAACCCTTGACCTACAGATCCCAACCCAAAACGATGCCCCAACGCCACTTCGTTTCAAGGTCCAGGTACAGCTCACCGACTCACTGTCGGCTGGTTCTCCCACAAATTCACTCGGACTTTCGGGAATGAACGACCCTCATCATGTGCCGAACTGCTGCTTCACTCCGCATCCCAAAGCTCCAACCCTGCTGCCCTTGATTCAACGCCTGCTATAGGATTAGGGTTTAGGGTTTAGGAGGAGCCTCATCACAATCAGAATAGGGTTTCGTCAGGGTTTCTTCCAAACAGGCACAGCATAAGATATGCCAGAACTATCGTCAAATTACTTAAGCCCGTAAACCTATAAAATGTCCGCCGGCCTCTGCCAGGCTTGACTCCTGAAGCGGTGCTGATTGCTCTTTTGGGTTCAGAGTGCAGAGTGTGAGGTAAAGGGTGATAATGATCCTTGCCGTGCTACTGCCAAGGCTAGTTACATCTTAGAACTCGGGCTACTTGTAGGACATTGTAGGATCTTCCAGGCATAGACTTGGATCTTGGAGCGCTTGCTTTGGGTTTTGGGGTTCCTCTTCGGAGACAGAGACGAAGAGCTGCTGGAATCAGTTTGGGGTTCTACGGCTTCGGGTGTGTTTAGGTGCCAAGAAATTGCTGCAAGGTCTACGGAGAGGGGACTGAGGTCTCGGAGGCCTCAAAAGGTGGGATGAAGGTGGGTAGGATCAAGGATCCCTTATATAAGGACTCTCATTTGAGAATATCCCACCTACCTTCATCCCACCTTTTGAGGCCTCCGAAGGTCCTAAATCCAAAACCCCTCATCCCGTAGCCGTAGACCCTAAACTCTCCACCCTTGTACCCCAGACCCTGGGTTCCTGCTGGCCAACCCAATCTCCGTTCACACAGCCGGAAGGTCTCAGGTGTTGGGTTGAGGGTTGGGGCTCAGTTTTGTTTTGGGGGGGGGCTCTTTTTCGTGGGTACGGCCTACGGAAGCCTACTACTGTAGAGGTGAGCTAAATCGGAGCTTAGGGTTTAGGGTATAGGCTTTCGGGTTCAGGGTACAGGGTTTATAGGGCTTTGTGGCCATAAATCTTTGAAAACTCGAAAAAATCCGTATAACACCCTAGCAAGCCTTTCAAAACCTCTAACCCCTGTAACACCAACATACAAGAATCTCATAATGTACAGTCGTGTCAGCCCCATACAAAAACCACCAGTTTACATGAAAAGCCTCTGGAACACACCCCGAAGCATCGCCTGGCTCAGTCCGGGCGCGTGGATAGCCGCGCCGGAAGCGCAGCGGGCCACCAGGGTGTCCTTTAAGGGCGATTTCAACCATCCCCAAAATTATGTATAATGAGAGCTCTTTGATGGGCAATAAGGGAAGTGGAAATGATCCCAAATCGATACCTAGTATGGTATATAGACTTCAGGCTTTGGGGTTTAGGGATTGGGGTTCAGGATATATGTAGGTTCGAGGCAGTGCTTCTTGGTTTTCCATGGGTTTGATATCGCATTTAAGACTGCATGGGCCGTGGGGTATATTGGGCTCGATTGAAAAGAGCACCGGGGTTGGTTGTGGGAAACTTCGGTGTGGGTCATTCACGGGCTCTCTGCATGAGAGCCGTCTACAGCTGGCAGCAGTGCAGATTGTGGTTTTTGCTGAGTAGAGGTGACCTGAAAGCTCTGGCCTGAATCCTAGGTGTAAGCCACATAGGTTCGCAACACTTTTTGCTAGCTCCCCACGCCTACTAAGCCGCTTTGGGTCTATAACCTCGGGTTGGTACGTGGGGATCTGCATTTACCCAAAGGCTTCTTCAGGGCTCCCCCCCCCGAGTTCCTAAACCCCACTTAAAGGATCATGGGATTTAGTAACTAGGGTTATTATTAGGGTAACTATACTTATAACCCCAATGATGGCACTTATAACCTTACTTACTAAGTCCCAGGATCCTCCAAGCAAGCAAAGCCCGAAACCTAAACCTTCTGCCTGGCCTCCTCGACCCCAAGCGTGGCCACCAGAACGGCCCTCGCGCTGGCCGAGGCGACGCAGCCAAGATTATCCGAGATGTCCGGAGGGGCGCACTGCCCACACTGACAGGGAAACTTAGGGTTTATATAGGGTTTGTAAGGTTCAGGGAGAGCCGGATTGACAGTTGGAACCAATGTTCTCTCATGCTGACGACTCTTCTGATGATGTGTGATTGTGTCTGTTCTGTTCAGGGGGGAAGTACCTTTTGAGGTGAGGTTTACGTAGCCGCGACGGGGGACGGCCAAAAGACAAATAGCTTGTGACATCAGCTAGCATGACCTTTGGATACTGATGCAGAATCAGTATATTCTCAAACTGCTGCAGAGTACGGGCAGTACCCAATAACTAGACGTCGCGTGAACTCCAGCCTTGTCGTCGCCGAAAAGCACAGCTCGGCCATCGCTGCAAAGTAGCCTGAAACCCGGGAGTCTGGAGGCCGCAGCCCAGGAAGGACTTCAAGCGTAAACCCTACTTGGAGGTTCATGGGTAGTTATAAGTAGGGTTATGAGTCCCCTAATATGGGCTACAAGTATTATTTGTCCTATTTAATAACCCCACTTATAACTACCCATGAACCTCCAACACCAAACCCTAAGCCTACGGCTCACAACAGGGCAAAACGACAGCAGAGTCGATACAGCTAGGTTGCTTCATGGGGAGACAGGTGGGTCATACTATGCTCTCACAGACTCTACTATATACTCCTACTTGTTATGCTATGTACTAGACTAGGCTATATTGGCTATATCCTTTACGACGATACGATGTACGATAGTGAGAGGGCAGTCTGTCGTTTGTGCCTATCTACCTGGTCTAAGGGCTCAGAGTGCCGGGTCAGTACGGTTTGGGGCTGTTGGAGCTTAGCAGATTCGCCTGGATGCATGTACAATACTTTAGAATAGGGTTTTGGGGGTATAGTACACCATAGTATGGTGTATAGTGTGCAGTAGATATGGTATATAGTAAACGGCATACACAGCCAATGGCATGTAGCATCCAGTATAGAGCATATAATATAGGATACTGCATATTATATAGCAAAACATAGTCTACGGGTAGTATGGTGTATTCATATTGTCGGTCTTAAGGAACCCTGAGGAATCAATAATCCAAAACCCTAAACCGAAAACCAGAAACCCTTAAACCCGTGTCCCGTAAACCCTAACAGTGATCAGGTGGCAGCGTGTGGGCGCCACCGGCGGCGATGGCGACGCAGTTTGAGGCCAGGCCTTGAGGAATGTTGCACCTCAGGTCAGTTTAGGGTTTGGGAGTTACGAGTAAAAGCTTAGGGTTTGGTGATTTTTTTGTTGTTGAGCGCCTTTTTCCTCCTTGCAGTTAAGGTTAGCAGAATCCACTGATGTGGAAGGCAACTGCCTGAACTTAGTGAATTTAGGGTTTGAGCTTTAAGTTTAGCGTTTCGGCTTTAAGTTAGGGCCTAGGGTTCAATTAGGTGATGGAGCATTCAGTACCTCAATTCAAGCTTCAGTGCCATGTCCAGAAGTCCCCAAGCACCTGCCCTCGAGGCCTCTAGGCTTGTTCTTGGTCAACCCCCGACCTCAGAACCGGAAGACAGATCTAGACCTGACCCTTCGACCTTACCTCTCTTGCTCTAGCCCTCTAGTAACAGAATATACCATAATTATTTATTATAATATACTATACTACAATATACTATAATATACTATGACAAGACTAATTAGAACATACCACAGTGAGTATATACTACAATATACTAAGATAAGACGAAAAATCATAGTAAGGTACGAAAAATTGCACCTACCCTAATACTATAATAAGACTAATTATAATATACCATAGTAAGGTACTATACCATAATATAACATACCTATACCTACCCGAATACATAGCTCAAAGCATGCAGCTGAAGCCTGGGCCCCAAGCTGACCACGGCCGTTGCCGCCCACACACAGAGCCGCACCATCGTCTCGGAGGAGCACCTGCACTTCGAGACTTTGGGTTTAGAGTTTTGGGGGTTTAGGATTTAGAGTTTTTTGAGGTTTAGGGTTTAGGGTTTTGGAGGTTTAGGGTTTAGGTATCCTTTTATGGGGCTTATAGGGTTCAGGCCTTTGGGTTTTGGGCTTAGGATGGCTTAGCGTTTAGGGCTTTTGCTTTGGAGGATGAGAGACAACAGCTATCCCAGCACTGCGAGAAATTTCCGGTACTGGCCGTGAACCCTGGTCGTGCTCCTAGCTGCGTTTAGCTGGCGGCGGCCCCAGCAGCAACAGAAGCTACCGCAGCTGTCGTGAATACAATCAAGTATACAAAATGAACACATACACGCATATACATACATGGGAAGGGAGGGAGGGAGTGAGACAGAGAGATAGAGAGAGAGAGAGAGGCATGGCCGCACCGGCTCTGCACACTTCCAACCAACACTGCTTGGGTCTTACCGTGTGCGTCCACCCGGCAGCGCAGGAAACGTAGCGCAGCCCCTGCGCACAGAGAAAAGCTTGGGATCCAACCGGAGGCAACACCAGAGGAACAGCTGGTTCTGAGGGTTTTTCTTGAACATGGCTCTTACCTGGTGGCATGGCGTCCGATGTGGGTGAGGAGCTAACATTGCTTTGGCAGATCGTGCACCTTTGCGGAACATCGCGGATAGTCTTTGCGCTGCAGCTCTACAAATGCGCATCAAGATCAGAGAATGTATACCAGCTCAAGCATGAACCGAGAAAAAACGCATGAATCATTCCGTGCCCCGTGCGCTCATTGTGCTTCTGGGTCTGTCGTCTTAGGGGGATTGGGGATAAGGAGGCTCTACTTAAAGGATCATGGGACTTAGTAACTGAGTTTTTATTAGGGTAACTATACGTATAACCCCAATTATGGTACTTATAACCTTGCTTACTAAATCCCATGATCCTCCAAGCAGGGTTCAGGAGGGTCTAGGGATGTTTAGGTGAAGGCCTTGAAGGCTCGGCTTTTGAGCGGCACCCTATATTTGCCAATGGTGCCGGTGCAACTCCGTCCGGTTCTTTCTGATAGATCAGCTGAACTAACTTGAGTTGCGGTGTGTTCTCCCTGCTACAGCAACCGTTCCCACATGCTGCGAAGCCGCAATTAAGCCCGACAGCCTAAACCAGAGCCATAAACCATAAAGCCAGAAAACCGACCCCGAACTGTAAGCCCAAATCTCTCAGGAACCCTGAATCCAAATCCCGTCGGCTCTTGTCCCAAGGCCTCCGGAAGAGGGGGAAGGTCGCACTGACCCGCGCCGTTGTGTCCGAATGCCACTGCCTGCTTGAGCTTGGTACGAGGTGAGGAATTTTCTAGGGCTCAAGAAAGCTTCACAGGTTTGTGTAAGGGTTCTATGAGTTTTCTACCAGGCCTGAAAAGCGGAGTTGGGGCTTAGGCTGCCTCGCTAAAGTTTCAGGGGACCTAGTAACTACGGCTACTATTCGGGTAACCTTTCTTAGAAAAACTTACGACCCCAGTGAAGAGTACTCATAACCGTTATAGCCGCCTTAATTACTATACCTTACTTACTTATCGAGCCCCATGATCCTCCAAGTAACGTAAGCCTTCCAATATATTCCCGCGGAGGCCAAACACAACTTTGTGGTCAGGATCGAGGTACGCATTGATAAGGAACCATGCAATCAGGTAACCCAAGAGTTCAAAGTGAACGCAGCCTGTGGACCAACTATGGTAGACATGGGATGCGAGGCGCTGCACAGCAACGGAATAGCTCACGTTGTGCCTGCCCATCGTCCCGAATCAGGACCGTGTGGTCGCCGCCTTCCGGAAATGCTGAAATTGCTGCAGAATATGTATGAATGCTTTCACACACCAATTTCTGAAGTACAGCTGGGTAACGTGCGGTTATCATCGCGATTTGCAGAGTAACACAGAACAACGCGAATATCGCACACAACATGTTGTCGACGCGTCGACATTTCCATTTGACAGGACCTTGTGGTGAGTACCCACCACTAAGGGGCCGAAGGAACCAGAAGCTGGCGTCGCTTCAGTACCGTAAGGGTCCAACCACCGAGGAACCATGACATATATTACAACACATAATAACCTGCAAGTGCGCTTGCCACTATGCTGAACCAGATGATGAGTACACCATTATGTCTCACCAGGGTTATGGCCCCAGATGCATGCTGAAAATCTCGATTCAGAACCAGTGTCCGAACCCCGGAACACTTCTCTAGTTCAATCTGCACAAAGCAAGAACACCTGAGCTAGGAGGATCCCTCAAACATCAATACCCCCACTCACGGAGGGACCGCTTACTCCTTACTTTCGAGAAGCCCTGAAACGCTCCAAACCACGGTCCCCCTGCCTGCAGCAGCCTCGATGTAGCGGACTCCCTCAGGGAGACTAGGTACTGTGCAGGAGCCTCGGCAGTGTACACAAACTGAAGTGAAAGAGCGTTCGTGTGCGAAGATTTTACGCGGCTTGGAACTGCTTTGGGATGTGCATTGGCCGTAAGCAAAACGTACCTTTGGCATAAATAAAGTGGTTTCCACGTAAGTGCTTGAAGCACACTCCAATTCTTCAGGCTCGGCTCGAACAACGCCCTTTCACACCCTACATAACCCTGTGAAAAACCCCAAAGCCTTAAACCCTCAAACTCAAACGCCGAAACCCGTAAGCCTTGAACCCTAAACCCTTGACCTTAAACCCTAAACCCTGAACCCTGAAAGCCCAAATCCGTTCAACCCCTACAGAACCGGGCTCCTCACCTGACTTGTTCAAACCCCAGGCCACGGCGGAGCCATCCTGGCGGAATCTCCGAACTCCGGAAGCTTCCGGGTTTTGCTAGGTTTTTGTTGAACGCCTTTTTCCACCTAGTAGTTTAAGGTCGGCGAATCCCACAGTTGTGTTTAGGGTTTAGGCTTCTCCGGAAGCTTTCGGGTGTAGGGCTTCAGGCTTCTAGGGCTGAGGGTAAGGAAAGAATCACTAAGCCAGGGGCCAGGAGAGTTGCAAGGGTTTGGGGTGCTCCTTCTTCTGTAATACAAACAAATCAGCCGATGCAAACATCCCGGAAGGCTCGTAAGACACACAAGCACAAGCCCTCCAATCCGAAGTTTGAACGCCCTGGCCAAAAGCAACCTAAACCTAACCTAGGTTGGCTCTTTAAAGCCTCTAAACAATTCTCGTGAATAGGGTCCTATTAAGCCCAATAAGGGAAAATATGAAATTTCCCAAAGGCGTACCTAGTAACCCTAAACTCTGAAGCCCTGGAAACAAAACCTAAACCAAGGTTCGACGACGCCAGAAAGGAACCCTTCTAGATCCCTTACAGGAACCCTAGCAGGATCCCTTAACGGAACCCTCATAGTATATATATATATATATATATCATATATATATATATATATATATATATATATACACATACACTATAGAAGTATATATGTATATATGCAAACTTTATGTGTGTATATATATATATATATATATATATACATACACACACACACACACACACGCTCACTTTGGGACCTAAAGTATCCATGTCCCGTCTCCCGGCCTCGCGGATCAGCACGGCGTGCGTTCGCCCGGCTGCTGCCCCCACGTAGCCTGAGGGATCTGGGTGTTTTTTTTAAGGGTTTCGGGGGGGGGGGGGGGGTTGAGGATTTCGGGGTTTACGGGTTCCGATTAAGGGGCTTAGGATTGGATAAGGGGTTTCAGGAGGGACTTGGGGTGCTCTACACTACTGTGCTTTTGGAGAGCTTAGAGCTTCAGGGCTGTTTTGGCGTGGCGAGACTAGCTCAAGAAACCATACTATAAAGGCCTTAAAAATTGGAATAGGGTTTTGGGCCCCACTATACTATCATTGTAGTACCTTATTAAATTTATAAGGAGTCCCCCAACATAGTATTGGTAATCATTTAAGCCCCATATTACACCGCAAAACCACGAAGCTCAGAGCCCCCAAAAATTTCGGGAGCAGTCGCCTCGGTCCTCCAGTGGCTCAGGGAGGTCACACTGCCCAGCAGAGTTGTCTCCAAAGGCGACAGCGGCGCCGTCGCTCCTCAAAAAGCTCTTCGGAAGGTCATGGATTTTTTAAAGCTCCTTGTTAATGTATGCCAGGCAGTCGGCAGAGGTCTGCGGGTTCAGTGTGTCGGGTTTATTCTATGGTTTTTTTTGAGCACCTTTTTGCGACTGTTGACGTTCTTGGTTTCGGGCCAAGGGTTGTTGGTTTGGGATTGGGCCCTCAGGGACCTTCACGAAGGAAAGCAGACTTCCCTAGCAACTCAAGGCATGGCTTTGGGGGAGCTGGTTCCGGTTGCTGCTTCGGCTTAACACTCGCCGAGTCCATGAGACTTCGTGAAGCCATGATTCCGGGAACTCTTACCGTGCCTCGGGTGTAGGGTTTAGGGCTTAGGGACATGGTATGACATGAGGCCAAGCCCTAAACCCCGACACTCCCCTCTTCGTCGGACTGTAGTTTTCGGACTGAGTTGTCGAGGCGGGAACCCGCCCCGTCCTCCCTCAAACTCCAGGCAGATGCAGATCCGCAGTAGGCCGAGCCTCAACAGCAGTGTGAAGGTGTAGCCGGCGATGACCTGGACGTAGCTGGTACCTGTTGGTAGTTCCGGCACCTGAGTCAAGCTGTGCAAGAAGGGGGGGTTCGAGGCTGGCTCTACAGCGGCTTGCTTGGTGACGCGTTCTGATGCACGGACCGGCTCACTTTCCACCACTCCAGAAGGTCAGCATATCCGAATCCTTCCCAAAGTCTGGGAGTAACAAAAGAAAGCAGAGCCTCTGTTGAACAATGCAGAGGCACCACGTTGTTAAATCTTCACTCCTCCATGCAGAGCAATCACAAAGCCCGGAACCTGGCACTCGCCGTACGAGGTGCTTCCGAAAACGACCTCGGAGGCGACGATGATCTCAACAGCCGCCAGTAGCCGTAAACGCAACGTAGAAGCAGTAGCAGTGTCGTCAGAAGTGCAGAGTAGTGAACAGTAGCTACTAGTAGTGCGGGGCAGTTGTTTGCAACTTAGTAGGGTGTAGTAGCTACTAAACTGCATGCCTCCTTTCTCGTACAGTGGATTGCAATGGTGTGTCAAACTTCCTGCGACGACACAGCGATCAGATTGCTCATAAGGTAAGCATTAAACGGGCTCTGCAACCCCAACATTGAAATCTCATGCATACTTGCTAAGGTCTTACTGCAGCAGCTCGGATCTTCAAACACTGCAAAACCCCAAAGCCTCAACCCTCCATCTACCCACCTCCAAACGTATCTGACCTATCTATCCATCCATCTACTCATCCATCTGTCTGTCTGTCCATCCATCTACCTATGTAGCTGCGTACCTACCTGGCTATCTAGCAATCTAGCAATGATAACGGCTAGTTTCTTGGCAGGCCGCAGCCTGCCCATCGCTGCGCAGCAGGGCAGTGTGGCTGATGCCGGCCGATGCTCCGATGTAGCGACTCGCACAAGCTTTAAGGTTTGGGCGGTTTGGGGCTCAACTTTATAGCGTAAGGCTTGGAGCTTAGGGCTCACAGGCTGAAGAAATAGGGTTGAGGGTTTCTAGTTTTAAGGTTGGGGAATTAGCTTCTCGGATTGCCTGACCTGGGAAGGATTGGCGTCCGTGATTGGTGCTCTAACTCCTGCAGAAGTTGGTGAACCGCAACCTCGGCCCATAATGCCTGTAGGCTCAAGGTTGTGCGCCAAATCCAAGCCCGAGAGGAAATCGATCAAGCGCAAGAGAGACGATGAAGCAGTCAGCCCATGTAACGCTTGTGCAGCAGTCGTGGCGGTGGTCACGCTGATAATGGGCTCGGAATAGTAGAGACAACGATACCGATACCGTCATCTTAGTCTTCATACTGGAGAAGACTCGGAATCACCAAAGCAATGTGGGAAACCAAAGTGCCAATTAAATAATGTCTCTGTGAGAACAAGCATTTAGTAGCAGCTGCAGGGCAGCTAACAGTCGAGACTTTACACTCCACGCCCGAAAGAGCCCTTGAAGTCTGTGCTCGTGTCGACTGAGTCCAAACAAGTGCAGAACCTTACCTCTATCCTGAAGAATAACCAATATTAAGTACTGTAGGGGCCTTAATAATTAGAATTGAGTTTTGGGGCGATGCGGGCGAAAGCCTGTCAACGAAGAGCGAAACGAAGGACGACGTGTGCATCCTCAAAGAATGTGTACAAACAAATGTAAAGAATTCAATAATTTATAACTTGCTGCAAATAGATTGCAGAAGTCGAAGCATTTTTTCGTAGCTTTGGGACCAGGAGTCCAACATCTGTACAGGGAAGTCTTTAGGTTTCGGGCATTTGCGCGTAAGCTTGCGCGGTTCACACGAGAAGTTGATCGGCGCATTGCACGCAGCACATCTTTCAGTCTGTGCCCAACTTGGCTCAAGGATGTGCGTACGGCAAGTGTTCTCAAGAGTTTGGTTGGCTTTGAACCTTTCAAGCGCATCCTGAAATCTAGTAATTCTGTTGATGGCCGCCTTGAAACGTTTAAGCGGTCCTGGCTTCGCAGGTAAAGCCTTACGAATTTCAAGCGCGGTCATAGAATTCCATGTGTCAAGTGACAGTTGAGTAATACAAGTAATTTTTATGTCAGGAGGGTTACGGTTGGCTTTTAACTCATTGACAAGAGCAATCCAAGGCGGCGGTCTGCTTTTAGAAAACAAACGCGGCAAAGCCCAGTTTTTGCTGATCATTTCATTCCTAAAAACAGGCTGCTTGTCAGTGAAGGCCGTACAGAAGTCGGCGGGAGTGATCCGCAGCACGTGTGTGTTGACTTGTTCCTCAATTTTGTGTTCGATGAAGATACGCTGCAATCTCATGGCAACATCAACAAGATCCCACTGGGGAGTGTAGAAAACAGAAGGCGGAAACGCGCTTTCTTTGGGAAAAGTGGGAAGCCATCTAATTTTCTCTGCAGCTTCATTTTCAAAATCGGGAAGGTCATCCCAGAAATCTTGATCTTCAAGAAGTTTGCGAGACAGGAGTCGAAACTTATAAGCGGCCATGCCTATGAACTGACATTCATAAAGGAACGTGGAAAGATGACCACCATTTTGAACGAAAAGTGCCAAGGCATGCGACCACGTGCGGATTCTAGTGGCTTTAGGATGGGGGTGCATGGTGCATCGTGCCCAAAACTGAAAGATGAGGCTGTAGTCAGTTAAAGCACTACCCCATTGGTTGATGGCAGTGCGACTAGCCGGTGGCCTCCAATCAAGTGGTAGTGGTTCACACTGCCGAGTAATGGAATCTTGGACTAGGCAAGGCTCGTCCCGCGTCTGTATTGGCTGCGCAGGGAGAGAGGATCCAGGTGCAAACTGTTCATACAGCTCAGGATGGCGATTGAGCTCCATCCATTGTGACAGTAGCTGTGAAACATGAATCTGAAAAACGTGCCATTTGTCTTTAAGGCTATCATTCATGTCGTCAGTGAAGATTAATGCATGCGTAGCGCATGCAGGCCAGTTACTCCTATCCAGTAGCACCGGGTCCCAATCAGCACGATGCATTCTGAACCTGGGGCAAGCCCAAATTATGTGCTCAATGTCTCCATTTTCATGAAGACAATAAGGACAATGGGGAGTGGCCTTTACACCCATTTTAAAAAGCCGTGCAGGGGTGGCATGCGCGTCGGCAAGGAGTCTGATCAGCGGAACCCTGTAAGTGCAGCTAGTATCCATTTTGCGCAAAAGCTTACAAGAGATATCAAGATTAGCACATTGGACCCCATTCCATTTTGGATGTTTGCTGCTCAGGTCTAACAAAAGTTTTTGACGAATAAGCTGTCTAATCTCATGTAAAAACTTTTGCTTATCTAAATCTTTGAAAGAGATATGGGTCTGATCTTGTTTGATGATGAGACCATCCTTGGCATTGATACTGCAGCCAAGCCACGCAACGTCAGCAAGAAGCAAAGTGACCGGACCAAAAAGCGAGTGCTTGCAAGGCGCAAGATGCTCAACGGTGTCGTTGAGCAGTTCGACAAACTCAGGGTGATCAACATATATTTTGCGCCAAAACCGAAGATTGTGGTAAATCATCGCAACCTCAGGATCAAACATATGCGCTTTCTCGCAGAAGATCGTGTGAGCAAGTTGCGTTTGACATTTTCTGTTTGAAGCAGCTTCAAAGATTTTTGCTCTTATGCTTGCAATTTGGGCTTTTGTGGGTCTTACGACAGAGGCGGCATAGCAGAGCATAGGAATGATCTTACGGGCAATGATGGTCGTAGCGTTCTCATTAGTGAGTTTTGCACGGATAACCTTGTTCAAAGCGATGACACATTGCTGCAGAAGGGGCTCAAAAAAATTGGCAGCTCGCATTTTCTCAAAAGGAAGCGGGACTCCAAGATACACAACGGTGCAATCCCTTTTAACTTCATACCCATTCATCCACCAAAGATTATGCGTAGGGTCATTCGTACCAAATGCAGTGGTCTTTGCACAAGTTGAAAACCCATGATGAGTATCCCAAAATTCAGTGGTGTGAAAAGCATGAAGGAGCGATTCATTACAGAAGCCTAGAAGCAATCTATCGTCGACGAAAACTTTCGCCAGCAGATCTTGGTTGGGCATCTCATATGTCCACTTTCCAAGGAAGGCGGCTGCGGCTAACATAGACAGGGGGTCACCCTGCGGCAAACCTTTCGCGGAACAAAAACCTTCAGGAGCGATAGCTCCATTGAACGAAGCGAAACGTCTGATTCTCTGTATCATAAACTGCCAAGACCGGATAACATCAGTGGGGATACCGATGTAACGCAAAGCTTCACAGGCGTCAGATTGTTGAATGTTGTCAAAGAACTTTTCGGTGTCAATGGCGACACCTTGGAGGGCGCGACGTGATTCAACAACTTTTCTCCAAGTGGCCTCGCAATGAATGGTCGCTGGTAGCCAGGCACTGTGCCCAGATCGACCCTTAACACCTCCTATGGAATTAGCAGGAACGTTCGACTGACAACTTTCGTGCAACGCAAGGAGAGTTTTGCAAAAGAGCCGATAGGCAACAGGCGCGATAGTCAGAGGCCTAAGGTCTTTGACTCGGATTTTACCTTGTCGCTTCGGAATACAAGACATTTTGCAGTTGAGCCAAGACAATGGAGTTTGTCCAACATGAATGGCTTTGCAAAAAATCCTTGCAAGAAATTTCACAGCGCTGGGGCTGAGGTTTTTGTAATGTTGCACCTGGAGACCATCGATACCGGGAGCTTTACTTGCGTCAGAGTTCCGAATAATTTTTGTCAAGGTTTTCTGTATGAGACAAAAGGAATTTTGGTCCGGTTCAAACGCGACTGCTTTCAAGTCATGGTCAAGAACAGCTTGCTCGACGTCAGCAGTTTTGTAAACCTTTTCAAAAAAATCCTGAATTTCCTTTAAGGAATCAACGACGGAAGTAGTGTACCCATCTTTACCGTATGCAGCGCTCTCAATACAGGAGGGCATTGGGGCAGGTGCAGAGCGCACCCAACGAAAGAGATGCTTGAGCCAGTCACTTTGCTTTTGTCCTTTAGGCTGAAGGTTTTTCTGCCATTTCCGGATCTGGTTTTTGTCAAACTGCTTCAATTTGTCGTTGATGCGTTTTTGTGTAATCCAGTCTTGCGCCAAGACAGCCTGCTGAAGTTTGCCGATGAGCTGATTCTTACGATATGTATCCCGGATTCGGAACGCAGGTTTCTTGCCAAGGCAATGACCAGTAGTATTATGAACTTTTTGGAAAGCATCGCACCAGGCAGTCCAATCTTCTTGAACACTTGTAGGGGCATTGGCTTGGTAATAATTCTCGTATGCATTGCGCCATTGTTCCTCCGCATCGGCGGGGTTTTCATAACAGACCTTATGGAAAATTTCCCATGATGGTTTTTGTGTGTTATGCTGGTGAAGGCTGCAAGTGATGGCATTATGACCTATTTTCAGAACAGGCCTCTGCTGGATAGGCGAAACTTCTTCTTTTAGCTGGTCAGTAACCATAATTGTGTCAATGCAGGAAGTACTGCCAGAAGAATGCTTGAAGGTAAAGAAACTAGAAGGAGTGTTGATGGTAAGGGGGAACCAAGAATTGAGTTTTGGGGCCCATTATGCTACAATTACAAAATCAGGAACCCCTACAGTAGTATAAGTAATTGTTCAAGCTCCTATGGTACAAAAGGACAATCCAAAGCACCCCAAAAGGTCGAAGATAGGCCCTGGTTCGAGCCTGGCTGGCTCGTCATCACTTTCGTCTGGGAGCTCGGGGATTTCCTTGTGGGGCGGACTCTTCAGGAATCGTATAAACTCAATAATATAGGGGCCCATTATACTATAATCATAATAAGGAGCCCCCCCAAAATGGTAGAGGTAATTATTTAGGCCCCTATATTGCCATAATACCGGACCGCAAAGCGTGAGCCGGCGAGAAGATATGGATCGACTGACGAGATGGAAGTAGCAAGGTGGAGAGCCGAGGCGGCTTGGGGTTTTAGTGAACTTTGTTTGCTTTTTTGGGGTCCCTTTCGCCACCCTATGCTCCAGGAATCTGACAGAATCCCGGGTTAAGGGTTTAGGCGTCAACAAAGGCTTAAGATGGTAGTGGAGGGCTCCCCGATGCGGCTCAGGACTGGCTGAGCTGGAGGCTAAACTCTTTCCCTATAGGAACTGGCACGAACCCCGAAAACCCTCAGCCCAAACCCTTAGAGAAAAAAAACTTGTAGCACCCCTTAGAGTATCCCTTAAGAGCTCCCCTTACTGTAACCCTTAAAAGAACGTTTTCCGCCAGAGGAAGCCCTTCGCTGCTCAGCGGCACACTGACCGTAGCTGTTCCGGCCGAAGGCCACTGCATCGCCATCGCTCAGCAGCAGCACGCTGTGCTCCAAGCCCAGCGCCATGGCATTGATGGCAGCTTTGGGTTTGGGGCTTTAGGGATGTTTAGGGCTTGGGGGTTTAGGGCCAGTTTAGGCTTGATGGCATGTTTCGGGCATCTGAGCTCTTTATGCTCATGCTTTGATTGTGGAAGTGGTTGCTTTGACACTGTCGTTGCTGTGATGAGTTGAGGCTGCTATTGCTGATGCTTCGTCTCTACTTGCGGCATGCCGCAATCGTTGCACTGCTTGGTGGCACTGCTATCCTGATTCACCATGGTTTTAAGGAGCACATTGCCAGTAGTGAAACTATGACAATTACGGTGCGCATCTTTCGGCAATGATAGGCCCGAGCTGCTGTTACGAGTACGTACCACCGTACCGTTGACCTTGTCACTTCCAACTTAATTACATGAGCAAACTCTGCCCGATAGCGGCGGTCGTCGATTTCGAACAAGCAATCTTTGAGCACTGGCTTGCTCGACTAGCATACTAGAGAAGCTATCGGCTTAGCTTAGATGCTGGGCAGTGCTTCGACATGATGACATCAAAGTGCGTATCCAACTTCGTTGCTTTCCAGAGGAACAAAACTTTGAACCTACCAGCTGTGGCGGCATTCCTAAACACTCGGCTAGCCTCGGCCTCTTCCAGCCCTACTCCTGGCGCACTCAAGCCTCAAGCACTGCAAAGATCTCCAGTGCAGTGCCTCCTTTGCGATGCTGTGCATCAGCCGGCCATGCCGGAGACCTGACAGCAGCGGAACCTGGGGTTCCCTCTAAGGGGGCCCTACCAGTAGTATCTTAGTTGCTGAGTTCATAGGCACCGAACAGTGTACACTTTTAGGTTTATAGTGGGTAATACTATCCCAAAAAGTGTAAAATCTATCCATTCAATTACTAAGTCATCACTAAGTATGGAACCCCTATAGCAATGACTCTTTTAAGGGTTACCGGGTTTTACACTCCCGTAGTCACCCTTTATAGGTTTAAGGCGTTAGGCTTCAGGGCTGGGTCAATTCCTATCTCCTGAGCTATTTGAGGTCGGCAGCCTAACAGAGTGTGATAGTCAAGTTGAAGTCACTTATTTTTGTAAGGCTCTCTCATGAAGCTTCACAACACTCATCCATAGCCACACCTGCACCGACCGACCGGAAGCACCCCTACTCTCCACCGGACACTCTACAAAATACGCTCCGTCGAGAAGTTCGGCACTCCAGCTTCAGGATCTACCACTGCCAGCGACAATGACGGCCTGAGTTTGTACGAGTTCTTCTCAGCTGCTGGATGTTTTCAGCTGGGACCAAAATCTCAAACCATCCGTCACAGTCCCCAGAATTACGCAGTAGATCCGAAAAGAACTCATCTCGCAGATGTAAGATGCCGGCGAAGTGAGGCGAAAGACCACGCGACCTTGCATAGGGTTGGTTCCCAACGAACAACACCAGATGCTCGGACTCGTCTCCAAAGCACAGTGCTTGCTGCAGGATGGTGTGCCTGTGCCAGCCTACATAATTACTACTTCGTGCTCCGGCGCTTAATATTTGCGTACACTACCAGTAGTGTAGATGATGAAATGTATGTATGATTCAGCCTTTCTTCCCATGGACCACTACTCTCCTTAAGGCGATATGTCCTTCACAAACCTGCTTGTACCATCGTCAACTTGTGGCAACTACGCGACCTGCGCTTCTGTGGGATAAGCTTCTGATGATCAAAGGGGAAAAGGGAGGGACCCTTAATAAGGACCGCTAGGTATATACCCGAAATATAGCTATTATGCACCCATTATATAGCCCCATTATGGGGTAGGGGTCCCCATCATCGACAATGTCGGGGCCGCAATCACTAGTTTGTGTCTGTGCGGTCCATGATAACTCAGCTGTTATCTAGGAAGGAATCCACATTTTTCAGGCTGCTATATCAAAGGCACCTCCTCTTCTCTCCGTAATCACGTGAGACATACTTGGCTGGATGTCTGTGCATAATGTTGCTTGGACCAAGGTGGCTGAGCTCTTTGTCTTACCACCTTCCTTCTTGTGCTAGGGATGTGCAACTCAGCAAGCGCTTGTACTTGAAGTCTGAGACAAATATCTCGTGCAAAGAGACGCAACAGCTCAGCAGATGCTCGTGTTCATAACTGCGTGTCATCGCCCGGGCGTCAGCAGATGTGTTCTGTGCTCCACATCCACAAACAACTATATGCTGCCTGCAGGTCGGAAGTGTACATTCCATGATGAAAAGGATCAGCACTACCCATATGAATAAGAACCAACAGCTCTGAAATCCTGAAGGTTGAAGCTTAAGGCTTAAGCCTCAAGACGGTCCGCTGATCAGCTTGGAGAGCGACCGTCGCCAGGTCGGCTTCTGACACACCGCCAACTTGGGGCGCGACCTCTGAACGAGCTACGGTGTTTCTGTTCGTTTACTCCCGTCTTTCGCTGCAATGAACCGATCAAGCTCGAACAAGAAACAACAACGACACACTGCAGTGTAGCCACAAAGGCAGCAAGAAGGTCACCGCTTCTCAAACTCTGGAAGCTTGCCCGAAGAAAACGGAGCACGTCCTTCCTGTACCGACTGTCACCATCGTCACCAGCCTAATGTAGAACCTGATCAAGACACCTTGGGCGTTTATTAGGGTTCCTTATACGGGACCTACTGTTTTCGGGTTTTAGGCCCAGGGTTTCCTAATCAGGTTCCAAAGGGTAATGTATCCCCGATGGCCAATCTTCACAGCTGCAAGGCACCTGGAGCGCTATTGCCGCCATCAGCTCTTGCTTGGGCACACCAAGCCTGTGCGCAAAGTTGGACTTGATGAGCTGGTGTCTGCAAGTAGTAGACGGTTCAGGTTTCTAGCAGCTGCGTCAATAGGTTAGCACGAATGTCATCACGATCATCGTCATATCTGTCGCCAACACGAACACCACCAACCCCAATTGCGAAGATCACGACCGCGACCAGAATAGTGCTCCAGATGCCGATCCTGATCACCGACAACACCTGTATCATCATCGGGATCATTGCATCGTTTAACCACTCGAAGCATCACCGTGATCAATGTCATGAGATCGTTGCATGGGCATCAGATTTGCGAATAACAACAGGGCACCGAGGTCAACACGGAGAACCATCACCAGGATCACCAGAGCCATCGTCGTAGCCATCACCAGCATGACGTCCGTCCTGGTCATCATCTTCGTCATCGAAATCATGATCAGTGACGAGTCGTGATGTCTGCCGTCGCCGTCGCCAAAAAGGCATCGTCATCATCATCGTCACTGCCACGCAGCTGCCTTCTTTGTCGAAACTCTTTGCTGACCACATCACCATTTCCTAGCATCCCAGCTTCACAAGCTGACAAAGCCGCTCGCGACGCTCAGGTAAGCCGAGAAGCGTTGCAAAGGACCAGGACAGCTGCGCAAGACCTGCAGGTCAAGAGAGCCAACATCCACATGCACAAGCAAGGTTTCAGAAACCAAGGTGCATTAAACGCTTCCCGATTCCCAAACTACAATGTACCGAAATAAGGCATGACGGCGCCTCAAGCCCTGGGAAACGGGCAGTACTTCAACAACGGACGGCTTTGATCAGCCCTAAAAATCCCAATCCCTAGGCTCTATGCCTATATTATATCAACCTATAACTCACCATATTAGCCTATAACTCCCTGTGTATCTCCGGGGAGGCAAAGATAAAAGGGCTCTGAGGCTTCGGCGATGATTGGGGCAAACCTTACACCTTGAGGGTTTTTTGGTCTTTAGGGTTTGGGGTAGAGCAGTAACCCATGATGCGGACACTGATATCGCTGCAGTCCCGCGGTTCTTCAGCTCATCGCCAAGAACCCCACGACCCTCCTCAGAAAGGACCCTTGCGGCCTGTAATTCCTTCAGCTTGCAGAGCACATTTGGGAGTTTCCGACAATAGGGGTCCCTCATATAGTACCCTAAATAGTAGGATCCTTCTTATAAGGACCCCCAAGATAAGGTACCCCTAATTTTCGGAAGCTCCCATCTAATTGAACCATGGAGCCCCTTCAAAAGCCTGGAGCTGGACTGCCCAAAACATCAACACAAGGAGGAACCCTTAATGGGGACCCCTACCCTATAGTGGGCTATATAATGGGTATAAAATAGCCATATTAAGGGTAGATACCTAGGACCTAGGGGTCCTTATTAAGGGTCCCAACATGACCAAGAAACCGTGAATCCGAAGTGAATCTTGGTGGGAACTCCAAGCGAAAGTATCATTGCTTTCGGGACCCAAGCGTTGCCTGAGGAAGTCATCTTCGAGAGGGACCAGGAGCTTGCCTTCCAGTCATTCCGGGGATGACGGCATGCGCCATTCAAGGCTTTGCGCGTTCCGTCTTATGATTTCAATCAAGGGAGGAGTATCAGGCCATGACAACAGAGCCTGGGATTTCTTGGAAGCCCCCTAAACCCCAAACCCCCCAAACCCCTAAACCCTAAACCCCGAACCCTAAATCGGTTCGCCTAAACCCTCACCCCGAAAACCCTAAACCCTAAACCCTAAGCCCTAAAACCCTAAGCCCTGAAACCCTAAGCCCTAAAACCCTAAGCCCTAAAACCCGGTCGCATACCGGCTGGAGTAGCCAAGCAGATCTTCTCTGGGACGGCAGCAACATGGAGTACGAAGATAAGTCTACATGGGTGGTTGTCAAAATTAGGGTCCCTTCTTGGGTCCATATTACAATACGGCACCTAATATTTAGGGTACCCAAACAGGAACCATAATTTTGACAACTACCCATGACATGGTTTAGGGTCAAGGGTTCGGGGCAGTGGCAAAAAGAAACAATGGCAATCATTACGACGACTTGTCGTCCCAGAAATGCTTGTATTAGCTCACAACAACCCTAGTAGTAGCAATAGTAGTGGCAAGGATGGGAGAAATTATACTGATGGTGCTGGTTGTGGTGGTGATGATGATGGCGACTATGGCATATGGTGATGATGGTCAGATGATGATTGTGATTACGGAGATCGCGATTGACATGGATCGTCGACCGCATCATTCTCGTTTCGCCACAGACAGCATGTACAATAACATGAACCAAGAAGTTGTGATGACCATGTGCAGGCCATGTCCTTGTGCTCCAAATTTCAAGTTTATGGAACTGCCCTTCTCACTATCCATTGCTGCTCTTGCCGACTCTTCCCCCTAAGAGGCCTGACCCGTCAAGCTAACACAAACAACACTGACCCTTTCGGCCTGCGCAATGGCATCCAGCAGCTCCCAATGCCTTGCAGCAGTTCAGTTCTTCTCAACGCTTGCAGCTCACGAATTGCGCCCGGAAGTGCCCATGCGACATGAGTCTTTCCAAACCTCATCACCACGGCTGCAACAAAAGCACAAGTACAACATGTGCATTGCAGCCAAGCAGAAGTACTGAACGGCACTGGCTCCAAGGCCCCGGCCTTAGCCCGACCGCCACAAAGCCAAAGATGAGCTGGCCAAGGCAGGGGATCTAATCAAGAGCTAGCATGATGATTGTCGTTGCTGTTGTCAGTCGTCTTATTCGTACTCTTTGTGGCAACTGACTTTGCGGTTTTCGGTCTATTCGCACCAATAACAAAATTAAACCAGTATCATGAGCATCAGTAGTATGACAGGAGTATTCGTATTACACACATTTTTATGTTGTTAGCATTCTCAGTACTACGGGCAACGGACGAATATTATGTTTGCGGTCGTGTCTTCATTACTCGTATTCCACTCTTACTCTTGCTGTTTCTCGCAAACATAGGTTTTATAGGATTTATAGTGCTTTAAACGGTGCTGTACAGGGGACTAGCGTGCACTGCTTACTAAGCAGAGGTTCATGCTTTGGACCTGTAAAAGCTCCCGTTCGAGATCTTGGATGGCATTCTAGACCAGAAACTGACGGTTGTATGTGCAGCACATGGGGCCATACCTGAAAATCTACTGGCACTGAGCAGCCCCCCCGGAAGCCCTAAACCCTCAAGAGAACCTTCAAGACAGCACAAGAGCCCCATCAACAAGGCCTGGCCCAAACCCTCAGTCCTGAATTCTCTTAATGTAAGAGCCTCTGCAAGTAGAATAGGGTTGTCGGGTATATTGCACTACAGCTATGTAGAGAGTATTCGGGGATACTATGAATGATTATTCCTGAACCCTTTTTGTACCCTGTAGAAGCCATGTAAGACCCTACAAAACCTTTGTCCTTCAAAAGGCCCTACTCAGACCCTTAAACGAACCCTTCATTACGATCCCTTACAGGAACCCTCACAGTATAGAGAATGGGACCTAAAGTACCCATACCCTACTCTGACTTCAGCTTATGACACCCGCAGGCCTTCACGAGGTCTCCGGGGCCGAACCGCCAGATCCGGCTCTGTGCGGTTTTCGCAAGCGCCTGCCCGGGATTTCTGCAGGCTCCTCAGGGCTTTGGTTCAAGTTTTCATACCGCGGCGTCTTGGCCTTTACATGTTTTCCAATGCTTTATCAGAAACTATGTGTAAGTTGTCATACTTGCGGCCGTCCTAAAGATTTAATTACGGCATCTCTTCTGCTTTGCTGTCGTGAACAGCTTTGAGGCTTTGAGTGGTCCTCGACTCAGTTCCTCGCTCTTTTGGGCCGTCCACACAAACTACCAGCCACCCTCGTGGCAGCGAAGCCTCCATGACAGGCTCACAGCGAAGCCCCAGCGTACCTGGCATAGCTCAGAGCGTGAGTTAGGCTCTCCCGAAATCTCAACAAATACTATTATGGAGGTTCCTGAATCTAGTTATAGTTATAAGTATACTGGGCACCAAAACCCTATTCTATTTAGGTTCTTTTTTTAGTGTATTGTATTGCGCCTAATTTAGGTTCGGGGTTTTAGGGTTTAGACTTGGGAGGAGCAGCCTAACGCTGGATACGGTCAAAGCAGCCTCCTTTACAGAGGGATGCTCGCAGGCTTGATTCATGGAAATGTCGAGAGAAGAGAGGCACGCCCAAATAGCAGGAGCTTACAAGAGATGATATACTAGTAACAACCGGCACAAACAATTATGCCAAGCGTGCGAAAAATACGCATAAATAGTATTGCTAGGGATCCTACTCCGTGGGTTCTACGTGAGGGCTTTGCTGATCTCCGGCAGAGGATGTCCCTGAAGCACCAGGAATCTACTTTAGGCCCCTTTGACACAAGATACAAGCACAGCAGTCAGTGTGGTAACTCTTTGGGTTTGGATGCTTAACAGCATGAACCACGATTTGAAAGGAACACCCAGCTTTAAGCACTTGGCGATTCGGATTTGGAGCTTGCAGGGGACTTCGAACTTCCGGCCAGTGGCTTCTGGGTGTGTGCTTTGGGGGGATTGGGGGGAATTGGGCATAGGCGCAAACTCTGCGGCACCTAAGCAACAGCCGAGGTCCGTTTTGCAGCTTCCGGCGGTCGCGCTGCAAGGACGAAATCGGCTGTTTGGGCTCTGAGGCTGAGCCTCTTCTCATGAGTTCAGAGGCCACCTACACATGTAAGAACATGAGCATCTAATTGTGTAACACAACCATAGGCATTTGAGTGACTGATATGAAACAGAGGATGAGGACATGTGATGATGCCGCATCTTGCACCTGGCGATAGCCGATAACACTACAAAATCTAAGCTAGATGTCGAAGTGTCGGGTCTGTTGGTCGATGATCTTGCTTTTGGTGGACATGACTAGGAAGGCATTTTTGCCTGTGAAACTTGCTTGTAAGCTTAATGCTTGGCTGGTGAAGCCTGGCTACTGCCCCCATACAATACCAGTTTACAATGCGGATGCCATTGAGGGCCCTGTATATCTATGAGCAGAAATCAACATTTTACGAATAGGGGGGTCAGTATCCAAAGTGAAGCCTCCAAACAGTATCATGACACCTCTGCCGCCCGCATCGCTGGAAAATGCGGCTCGAGGGAGAGATTCTCACTGAGATCGGCGTCTTGTTCAGGAGTTTGGTTCAACTTACCACAATAGGGTTGTTGTGTATAGAGCTTAGGATTCTATATATCCAGGAAAGACAATGCCTGTCTTATGCTATCACTTAAGTCCACAGAGGCATGCGCAAGCACTGGACTTAGCTGTCCACACATCTCAGTGGATAACCTGGGCGCGAAATGCAATGGCTGTAAGGTGTCTTTCGAGTATAGCATCTAGGGGTCATAATCATGGAACAGGCCTTGGCGTATGTTGCAGTTACCGTACAGTTATATTCAATCATAAGCGCTAAGGAGTGCTGTTATTGGTATTTAACCTGGTCCCTAGCTCACATTGCTTGCCATGTGTCTTTATCAGCGGATCCTCAGCATGGATATGGTGTAACCCCCATAATAAAACCCAACATATGCACTCACCAATATTGAAAGGGAGCCCTATCTACACTCACCAAAACAGGTAATTGAAACACTACTTCAAATGGCTGACCAGGACAGCGACCTAAGCACGCCTCGGATGGTATGGTTCTCGAAACCTGGCCGCTGCCTGCATCGTCGACTTCGTATGAAACATCTGGGGCCAACGTAAAATAAAAGCCTTACTAATTAGAGTGGGGCTTTGGGGTTACATTATATTATAGAGATTCTAACAAAGAAATCTCAAAATAGTATCAGTAAATATGAAGACCCCCATATTATAGATCCCTATAGTAGCTCTGATAGACCCCTTCAAAGGCACCCCCCCCCAATTTAGTATCAGTAAATATTACGGGCCCATAGATCCCCTTATAGTACCCCGGATAGACCCCTTTAAAGGAAGCCCCCAAAAATAGTATCAGCAAGGGAGGTTCCGGGACCCTGGCAATGTCCACGAGCAGCACGGTCAGCAACACGCCGGCCATCAAGGCGCCGATCACCTCGCTACGGATTAGGGTTCTTGGGTTTCAGGGTTTAGGATTTAGGGTTTAGGGTATCGGGATTAGGGTTTAGGGTTCTTGGGTTTCAGGGTTTAGGATTTGGGGTTTAGGGTATCGGGATTAGGGTTTAGGGTTCTTGGGTTTCAAGGTTTAGGATTTAGGGTTTAGGGTATCGGGATTAGGGTTTAGGGTTCTTGGGTTTCAGGGTTTAGGATTTGGGGTTTAGGGTATCGGGATTAGGGTTTAGGGTTCTTGGGTTTCAAGGTTTAGGAGTTTAGGAGTTTAAGGTATCGGGATTAGGGTTTAGGGTTCTTGGGTTTCAGGGTTTAGGATTTGGGGTTTAGGGTATCGGGATTAGGGTTTAGGGTTCTTGGGTTTCAAGGTTTAGGAGTTTAGGAGTTTAGGGTATCGGGATTAGGGTTTAGGGTTCTTGGGTTTCAGGGTTTAGGATTTGGGGTTTAGGGTATCGGGATTTTTTTTTTTTTGAACGCCTTTTTCCATCGGTCTGCAGCTGCGAACTTCAAGAATCCACCGAGGTGGAAGGCAGAAACCCTTTGCTCTCAGTACCTCTGGTTGTTCATGCATCGTCTTCTTCAACCCCTCCGTGATGTACAACGACATCTTGACTTGACCCCGCCGAGTCCGCCAGTGTCCCTTCAGTGGTAGTAGCTGGCATAGATTGTGACCATATCCCTGCCCACGTAGTCAATCCAGACTGCTTTGCACTCTTCTTGATGTCCTCCGAAGCCATGTCCCAGACCACAAGACCCTGTGTGACCCCCTGTGCACCACGGAGCCCTGCATCACGAAGGCGCCGGAAGATCTGAACCCACTCGTCACCTTGGCATTCCCGAACGTCATCGTCACTCAGGCTCCCATGCATCCAAAGGAAGAAGATGGGCATCACCGAACTCCACGGAATGGCCAGTGGGAGAGTGACCGGAGACACCTCCGGAATCAACGGTCCCTCTTCTTCCCTTTCAGGGCCCATATCAAGTTCGAGGTCCAGGTATCCGTCGATGGCTGGTCGTCCCCAGCTCCGCCAAGCCCTGAAGAGGGCCAACCACGTGGGTCCACATCCAGACAAGACCATTTGGTCGTCACGCCAGCCGGCCTTGTACTGACCATAGATGCTTTCGAATAGTCCAAAGCGTACACGAGGATTGCCAGGGCGTAGCAAAGGTGAGAGCTCCATCTCGTGGCCTCCACCAGGCCGAGTCTCGAACGCTCCCTTCACAACTGGTCCAATCCCAGCAGCTGTCAAGGCCGAGGAGCCTGACTGTTCCTGGTCCACCGAAGCTGACACCGCCCGCTGTGCTTGTAGTAGGTCGACTACATCAGACCCATATTGCCGGAGGATGTCCTCGATGTTCTTACGGTCCTGGACCCATTCGTCATATAAGGCCTGGAACTCGTCGAACTCCAAGCCGGGGATCCCTGGGACACCCGCCACGCACTCCGACTCCATTGCTCCAGCCGCGGGGCCAGAAGGCGAGTCCACCGCAACTGTCGTGACTTCCTCCGGGTCCACTTGCATTGCGGCAGAAACTGACAGAGCAACGGGCTCTCCTGTGTCCGGTACTTCGACAGACAGTGTGTGCAGGGGTTTATAGGCATCCCCGGATCCACTTGCAATCGACACTGCCAAGACACACCGTCGTTTTTGAGGTCTAACCATCGCCTGTTGCAGGGCCTCATCATCATCACGTTGTGCTTGACTGGCCTGAAGCTGAAGATGACGTGCTTCCTGTTCCTGGAGCCATTGGTACTCCACCTCACGCCGTTCCTGCTCATCCTGCTCCGCCTCTCGACGTGCCGTCTGCGTGTCGACTGGGATGGGTGTGCCATAGCCCTGCAAAAGCACACCCAGCTCACCGAACCACTGGGACAACCAGGTCGTGTCCATAGCCTCTTCCATCATCGCCTCGCTAGGATCCGGACCCATAGCCAAGAGGAGAGCATCCAGTTGTTGGCACCATTCTCCTTGGGGGTCAGCGCAGCCCTGGAGCCCTTGCCGGAGTCGCCTGATGTGCCCCTGGCGTTGTCCCGGAGACTGCCCACCAAGCTCCTTCTGTAGTCGCACCAAAGCCCGAGACCACCGTTGGGCATGCCCATCAAGTAGAAGATCGCCGAGCGAGCGCTGCATGAGGGCGTGCTCATCACCTTCCTCCTCAAGATCTTCGGTTTCTTGAGTGCCTTCTCTGGTACGGGCGATAGCTTCAGCAGTGTCCAAAGTCTGAGAGATCTCACTCATCAGGTACCTGATCACTGTGATCAAGGCAATCGTGGACACTGCACGGTTCTGGGGGTTCATATCCTCGTGCACTGTGGAGATCTCACGGAGGAGACGAGTCGTCAGGAAGCTGTTGGGGATCTTGCCTTGACCCGGCCTTGGGGTATCATATTCGCCCTTGTCAAACAGAAGGAACCTCCATAGTCCAACCGCCTGTGCCGTGGTCATAGGAGTCCTCAGGTCGGGCATGCCAGACTGTCCAGGGGAGGGGCAACGGTCACGGCTGCCCGAAGCCGGCTCACTGGCTCGTGGGGCCTCGTCGAGTGTCACCATCACATAGTCACTTTCCCTGCGTGGTTGTGGTGCTCGAGACCCCGACCCTCGGCTTCTTGCAGTCTGTCGGTGTCCTCGTCCTGCATCCGATGGTCTCGTTCTGGTAGGACGAGGTTCTCTACGCGGCGAGCGGGAGTCCCTGCTACGACGACGACCATGGCTAAACCTGTGCTCCATAAGGCTGGCGGCGTCTCCAGTCGAGGGTGCCTGTAGCGTGTCCAATCCCTGACATAAGCCTGGTGGAGGATCCGCTCGGCCGCTTCAGCCCAAT